GGACTATTTTCTTTCGTTGATTCTGATAATTGAACCTGGGATTTCATAATAAAATCTCTAGGGTTTTAGCTACTAAACCATATGTATCATAATAATTGGATCTGCATTTATGGTTAGATTTGCTATATAGTCATCTACTTAATCAGTGATATGTTTGATTCAGTAAATTATTTGCTAGATAAAAGAAGGTTAGTGTATTAACGTCATCTACTAGCAAATAAAATTTCACCTTTTGTCATGTTTTGTCATACCTAATCCTTGTTATAAAGCATATATCCCAAATATATGCGATATGTCAAAAGAATTCGGAGGTTGATTGGAAGAGTCACTTTTTTTTATGAAATTCCAGGTCCAATTATCAGAATTAAAAAAAAAAAAACAATTTTGGCTGTGATAGCCACTTTTAGAATTGAATCTACAGCCAAAATATCATAAAAAGAAATACCTTAACTATAGAAATCAATTTCTTTATGGTGTTTGTTTAGTGCTTTAGAAAAAGTGCACATCAATTATTTTTAAAGTCACAACTAAAAATCTAAAGTCTAAATCGTAGAGCTAAAAATAAATTTACTGCTTCAATCAATCACACTCTAAACAATACCACCAACGCAAACAAATTGCGAACATGGCAGACCTTTAGTAATCGCAACCATAACTTGCAACCTGCTAAGTTGTTATATTGTTCCCAATGGCATTGTCACATTAATATGTATCCATGTCCTAATCAAATATAGGACCTCCAAAGTTATTATCTCCAAAAGGCAATATCACTTAATTACAAAAAACAAGACAATGTGAGCTTCTTTGTAGTAGATGACACATATGCAGAGTTTCTATTAGCTTCCTTTGACTACTATTAGTATAAAACATTTCTACCGCCCGACTAATTAGATAGTGGATAGACCTCTCAAAACAAACTCATCTCGGTTAAATAACTGGACTGAAACTAATAGCTGAATAGTTTATAATAGATTGTTGGAACACATATGTAAGCTCACAAATAGTGTGAGTTATGAGGTAAACCTTAAAAACGTTTGCCTGTCTCATCAGTCAATCGAAATTAAGTGGTTCAAAGTGGTGTAAAATCAATACTTTACTGTTGATGGGTCCTTCTCGAATAAGCGGGAATTGCCATGGATTCCTCCACCGGTATAGTATAATAAGAACAAAATATATCCTCATATCTTCTATCCTTATTCGTATTGTGTTTTGGTGTTTCTAAGGATGGTCTTATGGTTTGCTTAAGCACTCATGTATGAGAGAGATGATGGAAGTTCTTGACGAATGACGATCCAAAGTTGTACGTTAGACGTCCCTGACATTTAATTAGATTTGTGATTTTGAGCTAGTCATGTGTTTAGCCTACCTGATTCCAAATACAACTTTCTTCTCATCTGTATGATATGCAGACGTATACATCGAAGAATAGTATTGCAGTTAGCAAACACTCAATGCTTCTCAACCCCAAAAAACAAACATGATATGGATATGACACATTTAATTATAACTTTTTTGTTGTATTATAACCAGAAAAAAAATTTTAAATACGAAAAAATAGTTTTGTTCTAAAATTTGTACATATCGTTGCATTTGTCAGATGAAATATCCTTCCAAATTATTGAAGTTTCATATCATTGGCTCTCATCTCGAGACTAACAAGTTGTATATTAGTATATCATCTAAAAGCCCTCAAAATATTTCTTCATAGAATTTATTTTTATAGTAAATGTGAAATAGTTCTCTAACCGACTCTCTTTATATACAGTATAAACAATGACTACCAGGAGGTCCAGAACAAGACAATTGAATTTCAACCTTAGTTTTCAAAGCGCTCTATTTAACCGTTCTTAAGAACCACTTCTACCATAGTCTTCTCACTAATTGGTAGCCATATAAGCGATTTGTTTCTTAACACAGATTTTGGTGGCTACAAATCAAAGCCAAATTGTGTATCTTTGTTCTCCCGATCAATGAAAACTCTTAGAATTATAGAAACCACAATACGTATAGCATAACATGGGCTGGACTAAGATCAATCGATTGCTTTGTTGGCCCACAAAATAAGGAGGCATTGTAAGCCACTGGATCCGTTCTGAACGTTTCATTTATCGGTTCAAGGGCCCATGTAACCGAAATAAAAATAAAAATTTGGAAAATAAAAATAAGATCACTGAAAATCTTTGGATTACCGCTTTACCAAAATTAAATAAAGATGGACATTGCATCATTTGTGTTTCAAAAAAAAAAGGACATTGCATCATTTTCCAAATCGTTCCAAAATCAATTGATTAATGAACTATTGATTTTTCACTTAAGTAAAAGTGTTTCAGTTTATTACTTCTACTCTTAACTATTTTAAACTAGTGAAGGGCAAACAAAACATAGAATGTTTTATAAAAAGAAAAAATAGAATGTTTTATACTGTAATATATTCCCTACTAATCGTGAGAAAAACACATGGAGAGTTATTTAACGTGCGAAGATAATATTATTATAATAATAATTACAATAGTTCTCTAGAAATTATATACTAATACCATATACGATTTTAAAATATATTTAATTGATTTTACCCACGTGTTCAACCTAGGAAGAGAACAGGAAGAGAACATATATTGGTCTCCATAGTATGCAATACAGCTATACAATTATTATATCGACGTGATTACCACTTGTATTTCTTAATATTATTCTCTAATGATGTACTTATAATACGTATGTCATAATTATATATTGAGTTACCAAATAAAATGTGTAACTTACCACTTCTGTTTGTTAATGCTTATTTTCTCAAGTTATAAAACTGATATGATAGTTAGCAGTTGATATAGGTAAATAATGCATACTTATATATTGAATATGAATATAACGCACATTTTCTTTGGCAATAGTTTTAGCATTACCGAAGGTAGAATTCCTTTTTTTTCGTTCACCAGGTAGAATTCCTTTATATTAAAAAAACTCCTTTATATTTGGTTTTGTCAAAACACATTTTATGAAGAATCACTTTTTTCGGTAGTTATGAGTTTTCTTCCTGATTAGGATTCCTCCCATTTAGCACTTAGTAGATTTTAATTTATTAACTATGGTTTTAATTTCTTAATTTAGTGGCCAATAAAGAAAATAAAAAATTGAAATACTCCATATTTTTTTTGGAAAATATATATGGCTAATTAATCTTTCTTTGCTAGTGTACGATCATTTGTAAATATCGATTGTACAGCCGAAAAAATGTATTTGTGTTATGTTGTATCTATTTTTTATTAGTTAAACTGATTTTAGTTTCATTAAGAAGTACCATTCTTACATAAAATACAAAATATCTATAATTTTCTGCGTTTTGTTAAAAAACTCGCATTTTTGCATTAAAATATCAGAAAATAATACAGTAGAACCTCTATAAATTAATACTCGATAAATTAATAATCTCTATAAATTAATAAATTTTACCGGTCCCAACTTGGGCCGGTGTAAAATATGACACAAATCGATAAAATAATAAGATAATAATATTTTCAAAACTTCTATGTAAATATATAGTCCCATTAAAATCATAAATTAATAATCTTTCTATAAATAATTTTATATAAGTAGAATCTAACATTATATTGTTGGATTTATATTTACAGTAAAAATACTTTTATTTTTTTAACATTTCATTATATTTTGATAATATTTAGTCAAATTATATCGAAAACCACGTAAAAATTCTATAAAACATAAAAGTATACATTAAATAAGATAATAAAAGAATATAAAAGTCAAAAATTTAAAATTTAAATAATGTACATACGCTAAAATCAAATATTTTTATTTTAAAAATAAAAATGGAAAAAAATAGAAAAATAAATCTAAATAAGGAAACTTTTGTAAATTAATATCTCTATAAATTAATAAAATTTCAAAGTCCCAACATTATTAATTTATAGAGGTTTTACTGTAAATGGAGTAATTGTGATTCTCGATTGGTCGACAATATACACAAGAATGTGTTGTTCAGATTTTAACTGGACCGCATCATTCGCTAGATGATTAAATTCATATATTTACTTAACTATCATCACGACCTTTTTATTGGTGGACTATATAATATTTGGTAAATTTTTTTTGACTAAATATAATATTTGGTAATTAGCTACATTATACGTCTAAAGAGTTTTTTTTTTTTGAGAGAGTTTATCCGTCAAAATTTAAATGTGAATTTAATTTTAGATTTCGGTGTTGATAAGCTTTTGTCAACATACTGGAAAATTCAAGTTTCTTAACTTGAATATATTAAATCTTATGCTTTCTTGATTCTATATCATGTGAACTTGAGGAAAGTTTAAATGATATGACTATTTCTATGTAACTTTAGATTTTCTAGATTTTTTTTTACTAATTAAATTAATTATATAACTATTTTACATGGTAAGCAGATGATAGCATTAATGAAATGCAGACTTGCAATTAATGATTTAATTCAATAATGAAATTTGTGTTGAAAATTTGTTCTTGGATTCAGAAATCAATTTTCTATTTATCAAACTTAAAAGTTGGGAAAAGGCGAAAAAGGAGAAGAAAGATACGCGTTACAAAATAAGTAAAGGATTATACAAAAAGTGGCAACAAATTTTCTACAAAGAGAAAAAAAGAGATTACGCCGTGAAATATGGTTTAACATATATAAAAAAAATCCACATGCAAAACCACACCACCTCGTCGCACGCCACGTCTCTTCATCTGACGGCTACCGTTACATCATCATTGAAAAAGCAGTCAAAAAATATATTAAAAATAAACTTCATACCAAAATAGTCACACACAAATTCATACATAAAATCACCATTGTTAACCTTTTTTTCTCCTTCCTTTCATCTTCTTTAATTTTCATTTTCACTGCCAGAAAACTAAAAAGTTCAAGAAAACAGAATAAAGGAGTTATCGTCTCTCCCTGTGTACGTGTATATACATATAAACATATGCGTGGGCATGATTCTTGGGATGATCGACATGCAACGATGAAATCATCATCCATTTTCCGAGAAAGTTCAGAGAAAACAGAGAGATGGATGATGAAAAACAAGGGAAGGTTATCACCATTTCTCTTGTCTTCTCTTTGTATAACTATTGTCTTCACAGGCTTCTTCGTCTTCCATCAGAATCCTTTTATCTCCGATCAAAACTTTCTCACCCTCCAACCTCAAATCGGTAAGGTATATAACCAATGAGAATATAAAACAATTTTGAAACAATGAGAATATACATAATATGGTTTATTATTTTTTTATGTTTTAAGTATGTCATGTTTTTGTTGTTGTCTGAAACCTCTCACAGCTTTGTAATAAATTCACCTTTTTGTGTTCTTTTGGTATTGGCTGAAAATTATATTGATTTGTTTTTTGTTTTTGTTGTGGTTTGGTTAGATCCTAAGTGTGATTTGTTCAAGGGACATTGGGTTCCAGACAAAAGAGGATCTCTCTACACCAACTCAAGCTGTTCTACGCTTCCTGACTCAAAGAATTGCATAAAACATGGAAGATCAGACAGAGACTTCTTGTTCTGGAGATGGAAACCTGATGGCTGCGATCTCCCTAGGTTTAATCCCAAGGCGTTTCTCACTATGGTTCGAGGCAAGAAGATGAGTTTCATCGGTGATTCTGTAGCAAGAAACCACATGGAATCTCTTCTTTGCTTGTTGTCAATGGTATAGTACTTTGAATCTTTGCTTTGTTCACAAGAATGTTTTTAAAGAATAATAGTGTTTGCTTGTGCAGGAAGAAACTCCAAAGGATATCTACAAAGATGGAGAAGACAGAAACAGGATTTGGTACTTTCCTAAACATGATTTCACTCTCTCTACTTCTTGGACTAAGTTTCTTGTGGAGGAACATGAACGTGTAGATGGTAACAAGAAGGGAACTGGATTGTTTGATATAGATATTAGCAAGATGGATGAAGGATGGTCTAATGGTTTGCCAAACACAGACATTGCTATTGTCTCGGCTGCTCACTGGTTCTTCAGACCAATATTCATACACAGAGGAGATGAAACCCTAGGTTGCATCTACTGTAACGTACCAAACATGACACAGCTTAGTCCTGACCAAGGGTTTAAACTTGTCTACTCATCTGTCTTCAAACACATAAACGAGTGTGAGAATTGCAAGAAAGATTTAGTCACAGTCATGAGGACTATCTCACCAGCCCATTTCGAGAACGGGACTTGGGATACAGGAGGATCATGCAGGAGGACAAGCCCTTTTGGTGTTAACCAAATAGACCTGCAGAGCAACGAGATGAAGATCAGGGCGTCTCAGATTGAACAGATTGAACTCATAACAGAACGAGACCACAAGGCAAAGAAGAAGTTTGGCGTTTTGGATGTGACTAGGGTTATGCTGATGAGACCTGACGGCCATCCGAATAGTCACTGGGGTAACAAATGGATGAAAGGTTACAATGATTGCGTCCACTGGTGCTTGCCTGGACCAATAGATGCGTGGAACGAGTTTCTAATGGCGATACTTAGACAGTTAAGATGATCCATTTTTTTGGATTAAACATATACAAAAACCTAAACAACATTCTTATACATTTCCTTATGAATAAGTACCATCACATATGTGATTCTTTTGCTTCTGCTTCTAGATATCTCTGTTGTTGTTACATACAATTTACACAATACTCAATCCTAGTGTTCTAAAGATCGGTCTAGTCTGTAAATCGAATCTGAAAGAAAAGATTTTTTTAAAACAATATTTTCTAAACCCTAAACAATAGTTCTATAAGGCTTTAACCATCGCCTAGTCATCCTCCTATACATTAATCTTCTATAAGACGCCTAACAACCGTCTAGCGATTTACTGAACATTGCTCAATACAACACACATCACTTTCACTTACCTCATATACATATACTTGCCCAAGATCTTCTGCATAGAGTAATGATTCATGCTGATAAGCCGTTGAATCCTACAAGAGATAAACATAGAAAGGGCTCCGAGCAAATAGTGTATGTGTAAACAGAAATGCATAATCTCTCAGATTAATAAAACTTTAATTCTAATCAAGCATATGGAGAAAGCTCAGCAGAAACAAGAAAGATCAAATCTATTACACAAAACCTGATCCAAACACAAGTTACGTAAACAGACACAAAAAAACAGCTAAGTTCTCCAGTAAAGTACATAGCTTTCTGCACTGTTCCATCAAATTACATGAACCCAATACAATTAAGACACAAAACCCCAAATACAACAAATCAAGACTCCAAGTTGTTGTTGTTACCAAGAGCAAAGGACAAGACTTCACGAACAGGGTCAAACTCAACAACCCCAACATCCATCGCATACCCATTAACAGGCATCTTCAACTCCCTCAAAACCGAGAACGCCTCCCCCATCCGACCCCTCGCCACATCAACCGCGACGGGACAGAACGGGACCCACGAGTCCTGCCTAAACTCCTCCCCAATCTCGACCCCTTCCCTCTTCACGGCCTCGACGATCTGCGCCTGGAGGTGGAGGAGGGAGAGGGAGGGAGTCGGGGAGAGGAAGAGGGAGTTGTTGTCGCCGGAGAAGCTTCCGATGGAGGAGAAGGAGAGAGGGAGAGGGTCGTGTTTGGAGGCGAAGGATTTGAGGATGGGTTCGAGTTTTGAAGGGTCGAGGAAGGAGGAGGAGGAGGAGAAGAGGGTGAGGTGGGGGCGAGACTCGGTGTTGATGAGTTTGGTGCTGATTTGGCGGCGGGCGAAGACGTTCCAGGCTTTGAGGACTTGGTTCTCGAGTGATGGGTCGAAGTAGAGCTCGATCGCGTACCCTTCTGACATTTTTTGATCTGAGAGAGAGGGGTTGGGATTGGGGTTGGGAGTGAGAGTGGTGGGAGCTTTGAGAGAGGAAAGGGGGAAAAGGGGAAAGCTTTTAGTGTTTGGATCGGAAGAGGATGGAGATTGTTTTTTCTCAAAGGGGGAAGGGAAGGGAAGGGGATGATGAGTTAATTAGAGATGTCAAAGTAAAACAAATGAAAATAGGAGGAGTCGAGAATAAATATCGAAATAGTACACAAATGCATGATCATAGTACAGTAATTATTTACATACCTTTTTTTCTTGTCATCTCTGAAATTCATTTAACTTGAACTCACGTACTACATGAAAGACACAACCCGACAAGAAACACATTCTTTCGGAGCCAAAAGTCGACAAAGATTACAATCCTTACTAAAACTTAAGCTTAGAAACTCATATTAAAGAAGTGAAATGGAGGTCCAGATGATAGCGAACATCAACCACATGGGAAGAGCGCGCCGATCTTCCAGGTAAGAATAAAAACAAGCCGAAGACTCTTATTTGTTGACTTGAAGTTATTTCCTATCCTAGGAACCAAAGAACCAATTTAGCAGAGACCTCAAGTCGGTATTTCCATCAGCTCTAGCTATATCGTAACACAATTAGACCATTTGGATTTTCAAAAGAGAACCGGAGATGACATTCTTGTCACAAACCAAAACAGAAATCCTCCACATTATTGATACAAGAACCAAATCATAAGCATAACTCACACTCAATCCATCCATACCAGCCCGAACCAAAACGATTAGGACACAAAAGCTATGTCCTAAAGCCATCGCATAGACAACTACAGAGCCCCATCCTTACGAAACTCCAACCCAAGTCAAGTTAAGAAAGATCTGAACCTCGAACCAGCAGAGACCTCCGCTGTCACCAAACACACGGACTACAACCACCTACCAACCGTAAGGATCCACACTAAACCTAGATAAGGCAGGAGATTTCCGAGCCGTCACCTTCTACTTTACCCCGAGCCGCAGTCAAGAAGGATTAAACACTAGATCTGCAAAATATAAGGAAACGAAGCTTACCGGACCGGCGGTGGCGCTAACGGAGCCACCACGCGCCGGCCAGTGGAGATTGAAAATTTGAATGGAGGAGACTTGTGTGTCGGGACGAGAAGAATGAAGTGATTTCTATAATTTGTCTATTTAGTGAGTAATTAGTTACATACATGTTTACGTTTATTTTATTAATATATACTGCTAGGTATTATAAATCATAGATGGTTAGAACACTTCTATAATTTTAATGGAGATCTTAGCGGAATATAAGAACCCATCTCTTAAATTTTAACTAAAAAAAATTAAGAATCCAGTTCTTATTCTTAAATGTCTTATTCAAGAACTAATTCATTTTGTTTAATTAAAAGTTAAGAGATAAATTTTTATATTTCGTTAAAAATTCCTTGTAAGAATTCTTCATTGGAGATGGTCTTAGTTGAACGTAACAACCAGTTATAATCTTTGATTCTTTTTTCGATCACAGATAATTCGTTGGTATTTGTATGTTTTCTTGTAGTGATGAAACTATCATTAATTTTAATCATGTTTGTGCTTGTGATAGTAAAGCAAGAACAAATGATGGTTATGTAAACAAGCAAATACTCTTTTTCCCTCTGCTCCTCGTGTCTCTTCCCTATTATTTATAGGTCTTTCAGCCGTTAAACAACAAAAGTATTTTGGGAAGCTATTCTATAACCAATGAAGGGTTACTGTTTTGTTGCATCACACCCTATGATCAAGTAAGCTCGATCCCTACTCTAGATGAAAAGACTCTTGAGTACTACACAAAACACAACATAAGAACCGACCAAAACTCATCAAATGAAAAACATGTTATAGAATAAGTGAGAAGACAGATGAATAGAGTCAATGAAGGATAACTTGGATGAGTTTAGTTTAAATAAAAACAGATGTGTAGTCTAACTTTGCAATCGGTTTCCCCAACACTTCTTTTACAGAAGAGACACTTCGCGGACTCTTCCTCCGACGAAATCATCTCCGAAACGCCTTCAAACAAGCTCAGACAGTCTTTAAAATTAATCATGTTGAACACATAGGAACAGACTAGTAATATATATGTAACGCCCCGACCGCCCACGACTAATGGGCCACCCACGCCCGCTCTCTCGGCCCGTGGGCCCATCCCGTTCCAACGGTCGGTCCGTTAATTTTCCAAGGCTCTAGAGTCATGTTTACTGACCCTGCAATCACCACCCGACCTTTCCCCGTGCTTTGGCCTCACTTACACGGTATCGCAAATCACTTCCCGATAGGTC